TTAAGTTAAAAAACATTATCAGGCTTGTATGCTGCATGTATAGCAAAAACGAATTGTTACAAATTTTCCTTAAAAATGCCAATACTCTTTTATTCTTTCGGAAGAAGACGGGGAATGGGCGAGGAGGAAGTGGGGGGAAGGTGACTCTTGCTCACTGAAGATCATTTTACCGGAAGCAGCACGTGTGAGAAGCTTTTTGTTGCATGGCATTTTTAAAGACTTTCCGTTCAAATCAACAAACACATTACTTAGCTACGTACAAAATACAGTGTTTGGTTAGGTTATTTCAATTATATTTTTTACCTTTTCTTGCCCCTTTCCTCAAATAATGCAAAGGTACTCGTTTTAAAAAGTGATATACACTCACACGTTACGCGCAAAGTCAGTGGGCGCTGCAGTACTTGCTGGTGAGTTTCTAGCTCAACAGAAGAAAGTTCATTGAACAAAAGTACTGAAAATATTTTTAAACATACGGCATTTTAGCTGTTGCAGACTTGTTCTGCAGGTTTGCTTCGAACTAGCGTGAAGAAAAAAAAATTTGGCTAGGATATAAGCTAGTTTCCTAACAGATGGCGAAGCTTTGAGCCTATAAAACGATGGAATTTCATAAAGGAAAGGTCAACTTCTTCAAAGTTTAATTGTTAGCGAACTGGTATCATAAAAATGACAAGGGAATTACTACTGCCATTACTTTGTTTCACAGAAATCCGTGCTGCAGATGCTGCTAAAGTTTGCTTTCCAGTAGCTTACTGCTACTGGGAAAGATTGGCTTACTTGGTCAAGGAATGGCAATAACTCGTTTTTCGTTGGCAAGCATACTCGCAATGAAATGTTTTTGTATTTTCCAGGTGCCAGCCCTTCAGCGTTACATTTCACTGGTTCATCCTTTTCAAGAATCTGCACAAAATTCTTTAATGCACCACCCATATTTGTGCAGATATCACAATGCACGCTGCAATTTATCACTGTTGTTTTTACTTAAAATTTACGAGCCAAATGAAACTTTTTAGCTATAAAAACGTCGGTGTTAAATTATATATTATTCGAAATTATTAAAATGCTGTACATTGCATCTGTGCCGTCTTTTCGTCTTGTAATGATATTTTTGCTTCGGTAACCGATGCCCTGGTTAAGTTCTGCGTTAAAAACCGCTGCTTATCAGCTTCTGTCTTTGCAGTTTGCTCGGAGCAAAAAAGCGCCGGCGAACACTTCCTTTCATCCTCGATCCCTCACTACATGTGCGGAAAACCCTCGAAAGACCGAAAAAGCAAGGGGCACAAGGCCGGTGGTACAACGTATTAGCACGCCGTGTCCGGAAAAGACAACTGATTCAGTAAAAACAAATGGTTTGACTCCCTTTGGCTCCATATCCATGTGCAAAAAATGGCTTTGTTAACCACACTGCATGAAATTTTATTCACGCAGCCAAATGCTATCCAAAAGAAAACGTCCAGCTGTGGCTAGATTCGTCCTCAGTGAACTTTAAGCAATTTGATAAACTAACCATGAACCGATTCCACCGCATCCATCAGCATCCGCATTAACACATCTTTCTGGTTTACCGCTTATACCAATTTTTGTCTCCAGATGCACATAATATTTCGCAGTACCATTCAACCCTGGTGAAAATACCTGTAATTGTTTTACTCATCAAATGAATTCTACATTTTAATATCCTTTCTTGCCATTTGAGCAATTGCTGCCTTCAAAAATGTTATTTTTCATCTTGGATTGGACTGCTAAACAGCAGTAAGCAAAGAATTCCCAAAGATCACTGAACGTTCATACTAATAACACATTGGAATTTTTGCTGCCGGTACTTGGCAAATGAGTGAAATAAAGAGCTCATATATCAGTTCATTAATGAATTTCATTATGCATCAGACATCCTTGAGCGTCTAGCAACCATATTTATAAATGAAATCGAGGTGAGGATAGGAGGTAACGAAGAGTGAGGAATCCGGACACGAAGTTGGGTGAGGGCAGCCGTAACGAAAAGCCGGGTCAGAAGCTACAGACCAGAACGGTAAAATTTCAGAAGTTGGTTTTAGTCTTGTTGTGTTGTACTCTTACAATTTCAAATTCCCCATTCGTTCGTTCATGGATTACAATATTAGCAGATGAGGTGGCAATGCAATGCACAATGAAATACGAGAATTAATTTGGCGGAATATGCGCATGAAGTTAAACTGCGAGGTATTGCAAAATTATGGGTGCAGTCGCATCTTATTCTGTCTTCTGGCCTTCAACACAATAATCATTTGCAAAGCGCATCAGGTGAGCCTGCGTGACTATAAGTTTTTGCAGCATTTCACACTACAGTAAGATCGCTTAAAATCACAGTAAGCAGAATTTGTGAAATGCTATTCCTCGAACTTCAAAGAGTTAAATGTACGATTATCACGTGGTACTTGAAAAGGGAACATTTTATTAAAATTTCAACCTTCCAGTCCTTCTGGTTCCCAACT